AAGATATTCTTAGGAGAGTACCAAGGAAAAAAAAAGAATAAATATGACCACATTTGAAGTTTATGTATTTTCTATGGTCAATTGTACTTTCACAGGAAGAGTTTTGGGACCTTCTGAATACTGTGTCTAGTACAGTGCAACACGTGTTCAGAAGAGTTAACATTTAACAAACTCACTCCATTTAACAACGTGAGAAGAGTATTTTATCTTTGGACTTCTGACCACCAAATATCTGATCACTAGACATTCCAAAAACCCATTGTTACTCCAAAACAATTGGGATTTTAGATAAAACATACACTCAGTGCAATGCTACGCTAAGAGACATAGGAAAATATACCATCCCTTGCCCAAGAAGAGTGACTCAGATTGGACTAGGAAGTGTGATCTCAAGTAGTAAACAAATAATAATGACAGGATTCTGTGAGGGCCTGGACCCAAATGATTGCTGCTTTCAAAAGACCCAGCTTCAATCTGCCTGTATGTGGTGACAGTGGAACTGAGACTCTACCAATGCCCCTGAATCCTTGTAACCTTGGATTACAAGGTTACAAGAGGGACTGAATTGCCCCCAAATAGCAGCATTTTATGACTCTTAGATGAAGTAGATGTAGATACTGTCTGAGGACATTAAGACCACAAGCTAAAAGAAAGAAGGAGGGAGGCATAGAAGAAGAAATGGAGAGAGGAAGAAATGGAGAGAGGAAATGGAGAAAGAAGGGAAAGAGAGAGGGAAAACAGAGCAAGGGAGAAAGGAAAGGAGAAAATTTAAGAAAACAGATAAGCTGACCATCAGAACTGAAAACTTTTGCGTTCCAAATTACTCACCATAAAGAAAGTGAAAAAGACAATCCAAAGAACGGGAGATAACATTTTCAAGTCCTATATGTGATAAGAGAGTTTTATTTAGAATATACAGAGACTAGTTGCAACAATCATAACTCAGTAATAAAAAAGACAAGTGACAATTGGCAAAAATATGAATAGACCTTTCTTCATAAAATATATATTAAAGGCAAAGAAAGCACATTGTGCTATCATGACAACTTACCACATGTAGATAAATAGCTGTGGATTCCCTTACCCTTCCAGAGGCTGGAAGTCCACAATAATGGCAGAGTTGGTTTTCCTGCGGCAATCTCTCCTTAGTTGTAGATAGCCATCTTCTCCATGTGGAGTCACATGACCTCCACGGTTGAAGGTCTGTGTCCTAATCTTTTCTTTATATACTCATAGCAGTCATATTGCACTAGGGCCAATCCCAAGACATCATGATTCTTTGTAAAAGAACCTATTTTTCAATACAATCACATTCTATTGTACCAGGGATTCGAACATCAATATATAAACGTTGGATGTGAAATACAATTTTACCTATAGTTAGTATATATACTAAGATGCTCAACATTAATAGTCAATAGGGAAATACAAATTAAAACCCAATTTGATTCCACTGCTTACCTAAGATATTTACTAGGAAATGAATGGTAACTGTTGTCTATGAAGACATAGAAAAATATAAATTCCCAAACAGAGAGGAAAGCAAAATAGTAAAGCTGCTTTGGAAAATAATATGGCAGTTCCTAAAAAAAGTGAACATGAAGTTAGCCATCAGCTAGAAATTCTTTTTTTGCTGGCATGTGTTATACATAGTAAGAGATTTTATTATGACACTTCCATAATAAATATATATACTTTGATTATTCACTTCCACTGTCATTCTTTCTTACCCCTCATCCTCCCTCCTTTTATTCCCTTCTCATTCTAGCTCCTGAGTAGTACCCCTTTGACTTTCATGACCTTGGTTGTTCTCTCTTTGTTCTATTTTGTTTTCCCCTGGCTTGTGCAACTGAGATAAAGTATGTCTTTTTCTTTGTAGGAATGACTTATTTCAGCTAACATGATGATCTCCAGTTCCATCCAGCTAAAAGGCAAACCTTATTATGTGTGTATTTATATATATACATACATATATATCATATATTCATTCATCTGTTGATGAGCACCTAGGCTAACTCCATAATTTTGCTATAAACATTAAACTAGCAATTCTGCTTCTAGGTGTATACTCAGTAAAAATGAATATATGTGTGTGCACACATCCATGCAAAACACATACACAAGTGTTTATAGTAACTTATAAAAGTTTATTAATAATAACCAAGATGCTTGCAGTGGTTTGTCTCTACAATCCCAATTCCTTGGAGGCTGAGTAGAGAGGAACACATGAACCAGAAGTTCAACACAAGCCTGGTAATAGAAACTAACCTCATCTCCAATACAAATATATCTCCAACATTGGGTTGAAAAGAAATTCAGCACTAACATATTGTAAATAATAGATGAAAGTTGAAAACCCTGTACTAAGTAAAAGAAGCCAGTCACACAAGGTCATGTGCTATTTTATTCTACTTATGGTCACATAAACATTAAGAATAAGCAATTTAACATTAACTTTAAGAATCATATATATAAATTACAGCTACATTAAGTGGCTACATTTTTTTTAATCCTCTCACAAATTGAATTAGAATTCTCAGACTCAGATTTTAAACTCACAGTTAAAAATTGTCTATCATGAATGCAAATAGGCTACTAGGGCTAAGACTAGCAAAAAAACTAAAATATATTTAGACATTGTTAATATATGAGAAATTACAAATATTAAGTATGGAATGTTATGTACATCTAGAATATTAAAAAAGATGAAGAAGGAATCACAAAGGAAACTATCCTAGCAGGCAGATTTGAAAATACTGATTTTTAAATGAATTATAATAATGGAAATTAAACACTGAGTTAATTGCTTAATAGGTCAGGTACAAATGAAAAGTAGCAATAAGCAATACTAAATAAAAAAAAATCTAAGAAAAAAATGTCAAGGTTGTAGCTTAGAAAGACAAGGAGATATGAAAGAGAAATTAAAGAACTACAAAGAGACAGTATTTAGAGAGATGGTAACAAGAACTTTCCAGACTCTAAAAAACAGAATGAGAAGAAATGTTTACTCAGACACTGAAACAAAATTATAGAGCGCTATAATAAATTTTAATTAACAGATCACACTTTATTAAAATTATGAAAAAGTCCTGTGCAAGAGATGGTTAAGAGAGTAAAGAAATAAGCCATAGAATGGGAGAGAATATGGGCAAAACATCATACATCCACTAAAGAACAAGGCATCATTAGGATGGCTAAATCTTCCAAACTGACAATACCAAGTGTTAGCAGGAATTTGGAGTGGTAGGATCTTCTCTCTCTCTCTCTCTCTCTCTCTCTCTCTCTCTCTCTCTCTTTCCCTCCCTCTTTCTCTCTCTCTCATAACTAATTAGAAGAAAAATGGTACATCGCTTTAGAAAGATAAAACTGAATATAATTTTTACTCAACTGACTAGAAAGCCTATATGTGCACAAAACATCTACAGCTACAGTATTCCTGTTCACAGCCACTCAAATAAAACATACAAGATGCCCCTCAATACATGGATAGGTAAACACATTGCAAGTTTGGCTTTAAAACATCAAGAGAAAATAGGGAAAGTGGTTAAATTGAAGTAACCCAATTGATGTCTTATCATATGGCTTTAAAATTATTTCTAATAATATGTAAAGATTATGAAGCAAGGATCAAAATATTTATTAAGATGAAAATTCAGGTTATAAAAGTAACCATAAATTACAACAATGTTTTTTTCAAGTCTTTAAGAGAAATGTTTAGAAAAATTACACAAAAAGCTATCAATGCAAGTCATACTATCAGTGATTGGTATTATTATTTTTCTTATATTACAAAAATTCCTCTCATGGACAGAGGTGGGGCATGAATCGAATAGTATTCCGTATTCACCAGCATCATATCTCTCTTCAATTCTTCTTTCAGTTGTCTCATGGGAAGAGAACCTTATCAATGAACATGTCTCCCAAGAAACATAATGCATCAATGATTCCACATAGAACCTAGTGCCAAAAAGAGGAAATTGCCCAAGACTGTTTATCAAGTGCTTTGCATTTCTGTTATTGACTAAGATTGCTGTGGATTTCACTGTATATAATAAAAGCCCATGTATTCAAGGGAAGTGTTATCACACTTACTCCTCAGGATAACCTGCCAAGGGGGAAATGTATCAAAAATTTCAGATGACAAAATGGGGAATATAAATATCTTGACCAGTCATACAATCAGATAAAACCCTAATTCAAATGAAGCAAAGTGACTCTCAATCCATTACTCGAAGCTCATACATGAGATGAGCGGTCAGGGGAAGTAAAATAGCTTAAGTGCCTTATGTGTGGTCATTATTCAATCTTTTAGTACTATTTTTTCCTTTCAGAAGTCATCAACTGTACTTTTATTAACATGGCTCCAAGAATAGCTAGAGAGAGAGGTAACATATTGAATAGATGCTTTTGCAATAAGGTAGAAATAGCCCTACTTGTCTTTGTCCCTGTCCTCTCACGAGATTCCATGTAATGGATAATTTTTCATCCATGATTCTAGAGGCAAGGAGAGGGTACAGTATCCAAGGCTGAATCTGAAGTTTGAACAGTACTTTTTATTCTCTAGTAGACCACTGGACCATAGCATGAATCCCTTGCAATGTCCTCTTCTGTTTCAGCCAGAGAATTACTTAGCAATCTAGCCTTCAATAAATTCCTAGCAGCACAAAATGGCCTTTTAAATCAATAATTTAATATTTCTATGTAGACTTGAAGTATGTGCATTCATACAAAGATTTTGTGTACTGGCTTTAGTTTTACATACAATTTAAATATTCCATGGAGGAAGAGGAACGCATTAATTTGTACGTCTCAACCTATTTTCTAACCTAATTGGTGGCACGTAATGTAGTATGTTTCTATTTATGCTGAATGATATACATAATGACTATTTATAATATTTCTCAAAAGAACTCATAAGAGAAAAAAATCGTTCTTAAGTTTCAAGTTTTCCTTATCAGCCTCCTGTAGAGCCCACACAATTCCCTCTAAATGCAATTATTTCACAAGTGTATGTTGCAATAACCAGTTAAAAGTAGTACACAAGTTGTTATTAGTGAGCCAGAGAAAGATAAAGGCCCAGAGCAGCCATCAGCCTCCTTTGTTTCTCTGCAATCAGGCCCTCCATATCCCAGGTAACAATGACAGGAAAATTTCTCTGCCATCACTGCCAGGTCTCCCTCAGAGGCTCTTCCATTCACAATAAAGTCCCCATCCTCAGAGGCATCTATATAGTAGCTTGCAGAGTTCAGGTGGAGGTAATCTGGGGCTTCCCACACCTTCCGTATGCACCTCCCATTATTCCTGCATAGGTGAACACTGCATACCTCAGCCGCTCTGGTCACATTGACTATGTAACTCCCCAAATCAGAACTCACAAAGCGCTTCACTTTTGTACAGTTGGCCTGGAAAAGTAAAAACATATGAGTTTTAGTGCCTCTTCTGCTACTGAGCTGAAATTCTAGACCCATTAGGTAGCTCTTTGGATATGACTGAAACCAGACCTGCTTGGTTTCAGCGGGTGAACTCTTAGGCTCCTGGACACCATAATCATGGCTTCCAGATCCGAAAAGAAGAGAAGATCAGGGACAAGAAATAGAGAATAGTTGAAGTCTAGCAACTGAACAGGCAAATGATCCCCAGAGGACCCACGTAAAAGTATAAATTAGAGGAAGACAATGTCTTTCTCCTTCAAGCTTACATGTTAACAAGTGTGAAAGGAAAGAGACAAATTCAAATAAGAAATTATGCCAAAGCTGGTGGACTTTATCTACTTATCAGATATGTGGCACTTTTTATGGTTATGTCAGAATCTGAACATCCAACTGTAGCCTTAGGAATGTTCTTGTCAATTGCGCTTCAACATTACCTTTGCTATGCTTGTATATACAGCTGGAATTCAAGAAAACTTAAAAAATGGCTGTGTGTGTGTGAGTGTGTGCACGTGAATGCGTGTGCACATCCTATCATGTGTTCTAAACTGACCCCAACTACCTCAAGCATACTAATTCATGATGAAGTGTTTCTCATAAGTCTCATGGGGAAGGAAGTCAGGAATTGAGCTTCTCAGTATTTATATTATTCATATAGGTAGACAAAAGCATATCACTTAATGAATATGTCTTTATAGCAATAAATCGAACTGGTGACACTAAAAACAGTGTCTGATTATTGTGGACTGGTAAAAATTTGATTTAATATTATAATTCAAGACAAGATGTGCTATACTGTACAGACACACAAGAACATCTGGAAACACACAAAACTTTGTGATTAATATGGATTATGGAAAATAAGAAAGATTCCTTGGAATATACAATATTCCCGCTGAGTGAAATTTAAGAGACAAATTTTGCTTTAAATCCTATTAATTTTAAGATAATTTCTCTAGAAAAATAACTTCAATGTAATGGCCAATATCCATCTGTCTCTGCTTCTCAAGTAGGATATGATTCATTTCATGTTGTGGTTCAATAAAAGGGCTCCAGTGTCCAATTATCTTTGGTAAATGCCATTTCCACCACTAGCTAGCCTACATCACTCTTACTCTGTTTAATTTCTTTTCTTGTGTCCCCTGTCTATAAATGAAAATGTTAGTCCTTCATATGACCAGCAATCGAGCAAAACCTAGACAGCCACAGAAGATCTCTTAGCTGCTTTCTTAGGTAGCATAAAGCAAATATACAGTCAATATCAGTGTTATAATTACAACATTTATAAAAGAAACTACATGTGTGGGGTTCCATCTATGTAGTTGGCACTGATTTGGATTTTGGTCCTAAAACTGGTTTGCTGTGGGGGTCATACGTCTTTGATTAGAGTAAACTCTATAGGATAATAAAGCAAGTACTTATATAAGTAATCAAAACACCTTCAAGATCCTGCCTTACCTCAGAGGATGTTAAGTTCATATCTCCCCAAATTACAATGCCTGCAGCTCCCAGGGCAGCACTTTCTCCTATGGTACTAATTAGATCTTGCTAGATGGAAGAGAAATCAGTTCACCATTAATTTTAATATAAATCAACCCATCAGTGATTAGAATTACAGGACATGCTTATGTACTCCACAGAAATTATTCTTTACTTTCTTACAGTAATACAAATCGCGGTTCAACTCTATAATCTATCATCATATGTAACAGCATAGAATTTTTCTTCAAAAATCTAAAGAAAAATTGACATTTTGTCATGCAGAATGTTATATTGATATAAGTAGACTGTAAAATAGTCATCAGAAGTTATTTATTTAAAATTGATTAGAGCATATACACATAAACTACCTATATGTACATATCCACAAACAGAACACTAATGTTTTTTCCTTCAAATACAATCATCTTAGTCACTTTTCTTATCTGTTTTTCAATATGACCCAACCTCCACAGTGACTAAGAGAGGCTACAATCATTTTGATTCCCAAACCAGATAAAATGATTCTGATTCATATTTGATTTCTAAAATCAAGTATGTTTAATTTTGAAGTAGTTGGTTTACTATGCTTTAGGACACAGCTAACAATGGCAAAGCCACCATTATTTTTCCTAATATGGTTAAGATAAACAAAACAAGATTTCAGCAAGAGGATTTGGGAATTTTCATTTTAAAGGTTATTGTGCATGAGTGTGTGTGTGTGTGTTTAAAGGTTATCATGAATCTAGAGTATTTTAGGGATTCCTAAAATACTCTGAGTGTGCATACCTGCTTATCTACTTTATTAGATAATGATATATTCTCCTTGCCTTTAGGATACAAAATGTGTGTCTCCTTTACTACAAAAAAAAATGAATTTCTCCCAGGTAGAAATGGTAATTTAGTAGAAAACAAGAGCAAAAACTTTAAATAGTACTGTGTCTTGGCCACTTCATCATAATGTCAATATTGAGAGGTGAATTTCCTTTTCTAGCACTTCTGTGGTTCACTACTCAAATTAAAGGTTTACATTTCCAATTTTTAAACTTCTTTTTTTTCTGGCTATTGTTCTGGTAATTTTCAAAAGGTGGAGAGCTTTGCGGTTAAATTGATTTTCCACTCAGGTTCACATCTCTTTTCATTTCCCAGGATCATAGTGCTGGCTGAGAAATGGAAGGTCTGTTGAGGTCCAAATGACATGCTGTAAATGAAAGGATTTTGAAATTTGTCAATGGTCTGATGAAAGGAACTGGAGGAAAAGGAGGAGAAGAGAAAAAGTCTACTCAGACTGCAGACCCAACAGTCTGTATCTATCAACTCTACAAAGGCAGGAGGGAGCAGAAATTCTCCCTCAGACCATTGATCCAGACTCAGCAAATGCGGAAGCTACCATTGTTGTGATGAACAAGAGGCCCACTGTGGGGTGCTGAGTCTTACTAATGAGCTTCCTTCACATCTTACCAAGAGGAACACTGGTTAATTACAAGAATAAAATCTTAACTCTCCAGTGGGGAAGATCTCTTCATCATCACCATCATCATCATTGTTGTCGTCATCATCATCCTCACTCTCATCATCAGTGTTGTCATTATTATTACTTGGCAGTAACTGAGTTTGAACTCTAGGCTTTCCACCCTTGCTGGTACTCTGCCTGGGCTTAGATTGGTTATTTTTGAGAGAAGGTCTTGCAAACATTTCTGCCCCGGCTTTCCTTAAACGCCTATGTTCCTGACTAAGAAGAATTATAGGGTGAGCCAATAACATCTTGGTAATGTTAACTATTTCATAAAGCCCGTATTCTGCATTTATATGTAGGTAGAATAGGTAATTTCCATATAGAATGATGCATTAACTGCTCCAGTGTTTGTTGTTTCCCTCAGGATATAGCTAATGTTTAAAATTCTTAGGTATCCTATGGCTAAATTCAAGTCTTTGGTACTGTTAAGAAGTGATGCCATACCACGTATATTTCTTTAGTACCTTAAATTTTTGTATGCCTTTTCTCACTTGCAATTCAAAAGCTTCTGCTAGGGCAGATAAAGAAGGTAATACAGTCTATTTTTCATATTAAGGTCTTGAATTCCCATGAGAACTGCTACTTACTGAACCCTTTTCCTAATCTGACTGTGCGTACTCTTAAAACACAGGCATTTCTGAGAAAAGTCAGATATGAAAGCCCTCAAGTCATTTAAATTGGTTAAAAGTGAAAGTCCAATTTTTCTAAATTTCTGTGGCAAATTTTTATGGTGGATAGAATTCAAGGATGTATTCCCTGGTCTGCTAAAACAATTGGAAAATACGTTGTCTTCCACAAGAATATTAAGAAGGAAATGATGCACAAACTTGTTTCTTCTTTCCTCTGACAGAAGAAAGGCATGTCAGCGGCTATCACTACTTTATAAACAAGCTGACCTAAGGTTTGCAGAATGTACTCTGTCCCTTAAAGTGACTTATTTCTTGCAAAAGCAAATTTTTATCACTAAAAAAAAGAGAGAGAGAAGTCATTTGAACTCTATGAAAGAAAAGAAGACTCACAGACAAAGGGTGTAATTAACTCTCAATGCTGGAGTCAAGATTTAAATACTTTTTTAAAAAATTCTAGGCCAAGTGCCAGTGGCTTACACATCCAATTCTAGATAGTTGGGAAGCTTGAAATGAGAAATTGTGGTTCAAAGTCGGTCTTAGCAGAAAAAAATTCATGAGACCCCCTTCACAACTCATAGCTGAGATTCATGGCATGTACCCATTATTCCAAGCCATGTGGGAAGCTGATATTGAAAGGATCATGGTTTCAAGCCAGCCTGGGCACAAAAATCCAGAAGACTATCTCAATGGAGGAAAGCTGGACACAGTGGTGAGCACTTATCCCACCAACTACCTGAACCTACAGAGGACAGTTTACGGTCGAGGCACACATAGAGGCCTGAAGACAGACTTTATTCTAAAAATAATCAACAAAGGCCAGCACCCATGGCTCCTGCCTGTAATCCTAGCTACTCAGGAGGCTGAGATCTCAGGATCATGGTTCAAAGCCAGCCCAAGCAGGAAAGTCAAAGAGACTCTTAACTCCACCTAAATTACCCCCAAAAAACAAAACTGGAGCTGTGACTCACATGGTAGAGTGCTAGCTTTAAGCAAAACAATTGCAGGGAAAATGTCCAGGTCCTGAATTTAGGACCCAAGATCAGCACACACAAAACTAAAACAGCAAAGAAACAGGGCAGGAGATATAATTTAGTAGATTGTCAGCCTAGCAAGCTTAAGGCCCTAAGTTCAAAGTTCAGTACTACCACAAAGGAATAAAATATCCAGACAGTACTGGTTGCCTATCATTCTTCAATTCCATGTGGCTGACTTTTGGTGTAGTATTGAATGTCACATCACAGGGAAGGTGCATCTTTCCTCATGAATAGTGTCAGAGGTCACATTTTGCACACCCTACAGGTGCACTATTTTCCTCTCTGCTGACCAGCCTCATGTCTGTGTGCTTTTGCAAATACCCACTGGTCACAATGAAGTCTACACCCATGGGCTGCATAAGCTGCTCTTTAGGATGCCTAGTACTCAGAAGGGCTGTGCTTCTGTTTTATCACAGGCTGGTAGAATGGTGGGGGAAACAAAGAAGGTATGGTTGTTAAAAATATATTTAACTTACAGTGTAATATATATCTTCAGATGCTACTGCATTATAAATTTAAAAAGCCTGAACAAATTTCAAGTCTTATCAATGTAGGAAATTTACATGCAATTATCTAAGTCCAAAGATTAGAAGGTCCATTACTTTGACAGAAATTTTATATGCTGAAGTGGCTTGAGTAGAAAGGAGAAAGAAAATCTGGTTGCGCATTTGCTAACTTCAATGTATGGTGTTTATGAAGTCTAGGGTAGTATGTATTAGTTCACTAAGAGTAAACAAGCAGAATAAATTTTTTTATTTGAGAGTTTTAACATAATATCTCGAATCTATCTACTTACAATTTAAGAATTGAATTTAGGCTGGGCGTTGGGGGCTCACTCCTATAATCCTAGCTACACAGGAGGCTGAGATCTGAGGATCATGGTTCAAAGCCAGCCTGGGCAGGAATGTCTGTAAGAATCTCACAAAACCAGAAGTGGCACTGTTGCTCAAGTAATAGAGCACTAGCCTTGTGTTAAAAGAGCTGAGGGACAGTGCCCATGCCCAGAGTTCAAGCCCCACAACTGCCAAAAAAAAAAAAGAAAAAGAAAAAAGAATTTAGAAACCCACACTCATCTACCAATATTCCATCAGCGTGCCCATAAAGGCTACAATAATCCAGATGGCTTATGAGTCCCATGTACTTTTGTAAAAAAATTAAAAACATAAATAAATGTGATAAAATCACAAACATGAAATATGCTATCTTAGTCATTTTTAATGGAGAACTAGGTAGCATTAAAGATACTGACATTGTACTCCTCTACAGGTTTTATGAAAGCCCTTATTATTCATTTAAAAGAAGACCCTTATTTCCTTTCTTGTTTGATAGTGAGGACAAAACAACAATATTTTTCATCGAACTTTCACATGCTGGAATGAAGAACTCCACTTTAAAATAGCCTCTCTGATTTTCTAACCTGCCCACTACCAACCACTTCAACATTATACAAGAGCCCTATTTGCTCAATTTAAAGATGTGCAATCAAAGTTAGAGAGCAGAAAGTAATTGCTGGTATCACACATTAACCCCTTCCTGCCTTTTTATGATCTTCAGATGGAAAGTAATGATTATGACTAACATTTGACTATTAAAACTCAATTTTGCAGTACAGCATAGTGGTACATGCCTGTAATTCCTACACCCAGGAGACTGAAGCAAGAGGATGGAGAGTAGAAGGTCAGCCTGGGCTATATAGTTCTTATCTCAGCAACAATCAGTTTGCAGCAATATGCTAGCAGGAACTCTACACAACAGCCCATTAAGGGTTCATTCATCAAAAAAGTATAAGTAACAAAGAAAGGTCCCCTTTCAGAATCCTCCAGAATTAAGTAAGGTGTTTCTTACCTTAGAAAGAAAAAATAAAGGTTCTTCTCTGTATCCCAGCCTTGTGTAAACAAATACAGGCAGGGCATATTCATGGGATGTCATGGTAGAAATTCTCAGGGATTCGTGTACCCGAAATTTTGAGAATCGCAAAATAGTCTCACTGTCTCCAAAGGATCTCTTGACACCAATAGACGGATATAACGCAGTACTGCTGTTCCAAAGCCAAGATAGCTCATTGTTCCTCAAAACTTCCTCTTCTGGGCATGATCCAGTATAATTGGGAGCATAAACATTGTAATTGTGGCAATCTGGATATAAATAATAACCCCAAAGACCCTTAGGACGACTCTTAATTCCCATTTCAATAGTTTCCTTCATGAAAGCCTTAGCACTTTTTTCAAAGGTTGCTCTAGCTAAGTATTCCATATCAGTAGCTGATAAATTCTCTTGCATATCAGCAATGAGCTTCCTTGATTTCTGTCTGTAGACATCTTTCATGTTCCAGTTCCTGGCCCACTGCGGACGCCAGTATTCCCAGTCAATGACTGCTAGTCCACTGAAATCTTCAGTAGGAATGTAATGCTTAATGTCTTGATCAGCTTTTTCCAGATGGACTTGTAAGCTTATATTTTGGGGGAGACCTCCATTAATGGGAATCCCTTGTGATGTATACCACGGATAATATCCTAATCTGTTGACATAAAATATAGTGACATTTTGGCCTCTGGCATTGGCCAGTGGACTTCCAATTACTTGAAACATTTTCAAGTTCAAACTTAAATTATATTTGATCAAGCATTGATCTGTTGGAGCATTCCAAGCTGCAATGAAAGGTTTTCTTTGATAAATTGGAAGTCGAGCAGGTTTTAGAGAAGAGATAGACTTCAGAACAAAAAGCATGAGCAGCCATGCCATAAAGTGTATTGGTTGAACAAAACAAAGTCTTAATTGTCCTTCAGGTAATAGTTTCATGATAGGGCAACAAAACTTATGTTTAGTATGCCCTCAGAGACCTGTGGAGAGATTTGATTTTCTATTAGTGATTATTCTAAGGAAAAAGATTCAAACATTGAATGCATGTCATTATTACATTTCAAAAGTCCATTTGACATAAAATTTAAAGAGAGCTATAAATAAAGTGACATACAAAAAAGGTAGTGATTAGCCTTCTATCCAGAGGTAAGTATGAAATTTAATGAATGTTTATGGAGTACCAAACCCATGGTCCTTACCTACGAGGAACTCATTTGTGATAATTAAGCAAGGCTTATCACTGACGGCTCAATACAATTTTTTTTGCAACCACCACACAAAGAAATGATTGTGTTATAAATCAGCAAATCCATTCTGCCAGCTTGGTCTTAATTTAGATCACAACTCTAAACTCGTGGGCACTTGGTGTGATCCTTTATACCAGTGCAACAAGGGTACTGACCTTTAAGATTAGAGCAAATATTCAGAGAGATTCCTAGGAGCATCAACTCCTAAACTGACATCAATTCATATTCTCCTTAAACTGTGAGGATTTAAATAGATACCCTAAAGGTCATAATCCATAAGAATTCAGTAGAAGCAATGTTTTATTTCCAATCCCTTAAAAAGTATGATAAAGTGATCATTTATGGCTAATAATAAAAATATACTCACACCTATTTATCAGAAACAAATCAGAATCACTGAAGTCAAATACAAGAGAACTAATTGTTAATCTACATTCTAATAAAACGTATTAGAGCAATACAAATAAAGACACCTTTTTATTTCTGATTGATTTCTTCTCTTCTGAAATATCAGTGCTCACTGATTTTTTTTTATTTGTGAACATACTGTACAGAGGGGTTACAATTACATGGGCAGGATAATGCACACATTTCTTACCAAGCATTGCAGCCTCCTCCTTTGTTTACCCTTCACATCCCTTCCCAGCCTCCCCCCTCCCCCCCCAATCCCACCCAATCCTTCTCCCCCCCCCCAAAGTTGTAAAGTTCGTATTGGACATGACAACTTGTACTTCTCATTGTTGTAACAGGTCCACCTGTATCCTTAAACGATTTGTTTTTCCCCATCTCCTCCACAAGTTATACTGACATCAAATATAGTGAAAGCAGGGGTTATACTGTGGGGGAGGGACACACAAAGCAACAAAGAAATAATCTTATAAATGCATTAGAAACACATGCATGAAAGAAAAAAACATTAAAATACATATCTAAGGGTTCATTTTCCTAACATCACATTATCTGACCTTTTCCGCTTGACTCAAACATATACTAGATATTGCAAATAAGGGAAACCATGGGACCTATGTTTCTTTGGGCCTGGCTTACTTCACTTAATATAATTTTTTCCAAGCCTTTCCATTTCCTAACAAATGGGGCAATGTCATTCTTTCTGATGGAGGCATAGAATTCCATTGTGTATATATACCACATTTTCTTGATCCATTCATCTACTGAGGGGCATCTGGGTTGGTTCCATATCTTAGCTATGGTAAATAAGGCTACAATAAACATAGTCGTGCTGGTAGCTTTAGTGTGGTCTTGTTTGTAAACATTTGGGTAAATGCCCAAAAGTGGGATTGCTGGGTCATAGGGGAGTTCTATGTGAAGTCTTTTGAGGAACCTCCATACTGCTTTCCAAAGTGGTTGAACAAGTTTACATTCCCACCAACAATGAAGTAAGGTTCCTTTCTGTCCACATCCCCTCCAGCATCTGTTGTTGTTAAAGTTCTTGATTTTTGCCATTCTAACTGGGGTGAGGTGGTATCTCAATGTTGTTTTGATTTGCATTTCTTTTATGGCTAGGGATGTTGAGTGCTCACTGATTTTGCTTTATGTTCTCCAGATGAAACAGAATATTTGACAGTCTCATACATATATAAAAACAGAACTAAGTAATTTGAAGAGATGGGTTGCGTTGGTGTAGATGTGGGGGTGAATGAAGGAAAAGATAACACTGACCAAGATGTGTTGTACTCATAAATTGACATGTTGAATTACATAACTTTTTAAAGACAAATAACAAATTTAATATTAAAAAGTAAATAAGATTTTTAAAAATTAAAAAGAAATAATAAGGTAAGCTCCTCTATTGGATGTTCCTACAATTTTTATTAAAAACTAAAAAACCTATGGTTTTGTGATATAATTAAGTCCCATCATTCATCATTAGATACAAATGTTTCCTTAACTATTTCAAGTCATTATCAAAGAATACTAGAGTCTCTCCATTTGAACAAATTTTAGGACTACAATATAAATATGGCAGTTCAAAATTGCATCCTTGCCAGTCTTAAAACTAAGCTTAAGTTTTGCAAATATATGAAAGTATCTATTTCAGGGTCACTTCTGTGAATGGAAAATTTATGTCATCCAAGGTAAAAGGCTATATTTTCATGAAACAAAAACAGTTCGTATTTTAGACTAAATCTAAAAGGAGATATAAGTCATATAAAATATATTTTTGTCTTTGTCATATTTTTGTTTTAGGATTTAGAATTTCTTGCATCCAAGATCGACAGCTTTCTGCAAAAGCATACAAAGTCTTAGGACCTGAGTGGTACACTATTCTGAAACCTGACAAGCAAAAGCCCTTTTCAGGAAATAAGGACTTCATTCTCTTAATTGAAGAGAACACCACCAACCAGAGCTTTGTAATAGAGCACTCTATTCTGGCACATAAATATGAAGAGTTAAACATGTGTGGAATAAGTAATTATGGGAAAGGAAATCTAACAGTGGTTAATGACTTGGTAGGAATTCTGTAGGAATACTGATTATAGTCTTGGAGAAATTGATTAGTATTATGCACTACACAACAGATTGCACAATACCAGTATATTGTTTGTTCCAGCTAAAAAATATGCCATAGAGTAAAAGTTCTTCTCTGGCTGTAAATATGGCAAAACTCTAGTTAAAAGACCAAAATATTTGGAGGCATTAAATAATGGGAAAAGATGCCTTGGTAAGGCTTTTTCATTTCTTGTCTATATTATTGTTAGTGATTTATCCAATGTCTAAGAACAACTAAGGAAAACAGTCAGCTCATCAATTTCAGATCACTTGGATTTGCTTAACCACTGTTACTTAATTGCATAATCTAGTTACACAAACCCTGTAACTCAAAAGCCATAAAAACAACTTATAATCTCCTGTTGTAGTTTTGAGAGAGCATTCTAATACAGTATAGAAATTACAAACTGATTAAATCATAAATCTTGGGTTGGACTATGTACCCCTGCAATAAGTGTTTTGGAATGTCTATCTCAAAAGCCATTGCAATTCAACCAGATAAACATCAGTTCTTAACTCAGTCAATGCATTGTCTTAAAGAAATATAGATTCTTGAAGAATGGGATACATAATTGTTTTTCAAATTCACATTTTATTAGGGAATATGGAATTGTTTCATGTGAGTCTATCCTAAATATTAGAACTGGGCTTGGTGCTTGGGAAAGATGATTTATTCTGAGAAAAAGATAACTAGAGATTGGTAGACAATCACAATATCTGCAATTCTATTATATGCAGAAAAAAGTCAAAGAGTGTGCTAACCCAAGGAGACTGGGGCTTTAAAACACAAGTAATTAGGTAATTAATCCTAGCTACTCAAGAGGTAGGCTTAAAGCCAGCTGGTGCAAGAAAATCCCTAAGACTCTTCTCTCCAATTAACCATTAGAAAATCAGAAGTAGAGCTATGGGTCAAAGTGGTAGAGAGCCTTCAATGAAAGAGCTCTGAGGGACAGCACGCAGGCCTTGATTTCAAGCCCCACAACTGACACAAAAAATGTAATTATAGATGTAGATGTGTGCATAGATATACGTACATATATCTTTACTGAATTTTTAATGCAGTTCCCAAAGAAGAATCAATTAACAAGTTTATTGCTAAAAAATTTTGCATATTACTCTCAAAAAAGTAATGAAGACTGTACATTGAATATCTACACATGAATTTTTGTTTTTGAAGTTCTCCCAACTTCCTCCAGGTAACAATTTTTAATTCTTTCCTAGTTACTACTTAACTGTTGACTAATAATCAGTCCTAATCCATCCATCAACCAGGTGAATTGTAATTTATATGCAAGGGAGAAATCAATCATGTAACTAAGCTTCCTTGAATGTTATATAGTAAAATCACGTTCATCTGTAAGTATATCAAATAGCAGTGACTTTAGTATGTATCCCACCTAAATAGAAAAACTCCAAAGGCTATGAAACAAACTTGGTCAACCAGTATCATTCGAATTCTAAGTAAGAAGGATGCTGCTAAAAGAAACTACAAAACATCTGCCAAAAAATTGATTAACTACTTGTAGAAAACTAAAGCTAGATCCTTATATATCACCCTGCACCAGAATCAACTCCAAATGGATCAAAGACCTCGAGGTCAAAGCAGACACTGAAAACATTACAGGATGGAATAGGAGAAACCCTAGGTCTCCTTGGCACAGGCCGAAATATTCTGAATAGAGATCCAGAAGCACAACAAATCAAAGAAAGGTTGGACAAATGGGATTGCATGAAATTGCAGAGCTTCTACTTGGCAAAGGACATAGCTAGCAAGATCAATAGAAAGCCCATGGATTGGGAGAAGATCTTCACTAGCCATACAACAGACAAGGGTCTCATATCTAAAATATACCTGGAACTCAAAAAATTAAATCCCCCTACAACAAATCTCAAAGAAACAACTGCCCAATAAGTAAAGTGGGCTAAAGACTTAAGGAGAAACTTCTCTGAAGGAGAAAGAAGGATGGCCAATAGACACATGAAGAAATGCTCAACCTCTCTAGCCATAAAGAAATGCAAATCAAAACAACATTGAGATACCACCTTACCCCAGTTAGACTGGCTATAATCAAGAACTCTAATAACAACAGATGCTGGAGGGGATGTGGACAGAAGGGAACCTTACTTCATTGTTGGTAGGAGTGTAAACTTGTTCAACCACTTTGGAAAGTAGTATGGAGG